CGGAGGCGGCGCCGCGCCCGGAGGACCCTACGGCCAGCCCGGGCCCTACGGAACGGCGGCGCCCGGAGGTGAGCGGCACCGGGGGGGCCTCCCCGCGGCCGGTACCGGGGTGGCCTTTGGGTGGGGGGGGTTCCGCGGCCCCGCTCGGTGGCGGGAGGGGTCGGCTCGGGGCCGGGGTCGGCTGAATGCTTCATGTGATGGGAATTGTAGAGTCTCGTTTATTAGGAGGTGGGGGGGGGAGCTCGTTCTCCCGCTCTGCTCCCGCTGCTGCGGCCGCCACGGGAATCTGCGTCCGGTGCTGGGATCCCCGGTCCCGGAGAGACTGGGAACTGCTGGAGAGAGTCCGGCGTGGGGGAACAGAGGTGATGGAGGGGCTGGGGCATCGCCCTGGTGAGGAAAGGCTGAGAGAGCTGGGGCTCTGGAGAGGAGAAGGCTGAGGGGAGACCTTCTCAATGCTGACAAGGGTCTAAAGGGTGGGTTGAAGGAGGATGGAGCCGGACTCTTCTCAGTGGTTCCCAGTGACAGGACGAGGGGCAACGGGCACAAGCTGGAACATGGGAATTTCCACTCAAATATGAGGAAAAACCTCTTTGGGGTGAGGGTGGCAGAGCCCTGGCAGAGGCTGCCCAGGGAGGGTGTGGAGTCCCCTTCTCTGGAGATCTTCAAGACCCGCCTGGATGCTCCTGAGTGATGTGCTCTGGGCAGCCCTGCTTGGGCAGGGGAGTTGGACTGGATGATCTGTAGGGGTCCCTTCCAACTCCAACAATTCCGTGGTTATTTTAAAATCCTGCGGAGGAGGAAGAGCAAGAGGAGGAGGAGGAGTGCGGTGCTGAAGAGGCCACAGCCCCTGAGCACCAGCAATAAAACCTCACAGCTGCCCGTCTCTCTGGGTGCTGCTGGGTTTATGAGGCAGCAGCAGCCCCGTGGGTCGCTCTCCCTTCCTGGGCTACGTCAGGGCCCCCCTTCCCCTTCCCTTCCCCCCCAGCCCTCACTGACCTGTTTCCCCGGGACGGCGTGGCCGTGGGAGGCCGCTCAGGGCAGGAGCGGTGACTCGTCCCTGGGTGTTGGCTCCGTCCCACACACCGTCCCCGGGGACACACCAGCCAGGGGCCTCTCCAAGGGGAGAACGGGAGTCACCGATGGCCTCTCCCCACGCAGGTCATGTCCCCCCGGGCGTGGACCCCGAGGCCTTCTCCTGGTTCCAGTCGGTGGACGCGGATCACAGCGGGTACATCTCCGTGAAGGAGCTGAAGCAGGCACTGGTCAACTCCAACTGGTCGACGTTCAACGATGAGACCTGCCTGCTGATGATAAGTGAGTCTGGGCCTTCCCCGCTCTCCCCCTGCCCTCCCCCTGCTTTTTGTGCTGCTCTCCTTGAGATGAGCCTCTGTCGGGGTGAAGCCCAGCCCAGCCCAGCCTGCCTTCCCCTTGTACCTGAGCCCCTGCTCTGTGAGGGCTCTCTGGAGCGAGCGCTGGGCAAACTGAGCAGCTCCAAGTGCCCTTTTGGTGCAGGACACGAGTCAGGGGTGCAAAACGCTGCCTGGGAGAGGGAATCCAGCTCTGTGTGAGGCTGAGCCAGTCCCCGGAGAGCTGGGGAGGAAAGAGAGAGCTCCCATAGCCAGCCAGAGTCACCCTGTTCCCCTTCTTGCCCCAAGCATCGGATTTTGCTGCCGTTTCCTACCAACCTCTTAGGGATGAAGTGGTCCCTGTTGATCCCAGGCTCGGGAGGGAGGGCTCTCAGGGCTGGTGCAGGTGCTGAGGAGCCCATGGGGCAGGTCTGGAGCTCTCTGGGAGTTTCTGCAGCGTGTCCTTGCTCCGTTCCTCACTGCCCTGCTCCTGTTCTTCCTTCTTTCCTCCCCAGACATGTTTGATAAGACCAGGTCAGGACGCATAGACGTGTACGGCTTCTCAGCCTTGATGCGCTTCATCCAGCAGTGGAAGAATCTCTTCCAGCAGTACGACAGGGACCAGTCGGGCTCCATCAGCTTCAACGAGCTCCAGCAAGGTGGGTGAGGGGCAGGGACACCAGCCTGGCCCTACCGAGTTCCCTGGGGACCACTGTCTGGCTCTGCCCGAGCCCGGTGACTCCTCCTGGCACCCTTCCTGTGGCAGGGCTGGGTGTCTCTGAGGTCCTGGGGTGTCTCCCACGCAGCTCTGGCTGCAGTCCACACCACACTGGGACGTGCTGGGACGTGCTGGGCTGGCTGAACTGGCCAGGGCAGAGCTGACGCTGAGCCTTCCCGTGGGGCAGGAGCCACGTGAACTGGGGCATGAACTTCCTTCCTTAAGGAAACCTGAAATTCCCCCTCCCCAGATGGCACGTGGCTAAAACCTGTTTTCTGGGAGAAGCTCTTGGGCGTGTGTGTCTGATGGAGAGGAAAAATGTCTGGAATTCGTGCCTTGGTTTGGTTCCTCCCTCTGGAAAGCCCTGCCCATGCACACCCTGTGGGGGCAGTGGGAGATGGGGTGTGTGTGCCAGCACACGGGAGGGGGGGGGCGCAGGGGGTTTAATCCGAGTGTCTCTTCCTCCCAGCTTTCTCCCAGATGGGCTACAACCTCAGCCCCCAGTTCAGCCAGCTGCTGCTGGCCCGCTATGCCCAGCGATCCCCCAACCCCAGCATCCAGCTCGACCACTTCATCCAGATCTGCATGCAGCTGCAGAGCACCACCGATGCCTTCCGCGAGAAGGACACGGGGCTGGTGGGCAACGTGCGGCTCAGCTACGAGGACTTCCTCACCATGGTTGTCACCCGCATGATGTGACACCCCGGGCACAGGGCCACGAGCCCCCCGGGAGCTCCGTGGGGTTCCCCGGGAGCTGGAGCCACCCTCGGCCTCGCGCTGGGACGTGCCTGAGGCTCCTGGAGAGCCAGTTGTTCCCCCTGAGCCATTTCTCCAGCCCGAGGAGCCCCCAGTCCTGCTGGGGCACTCCCAGCTCCCAGTCCCTTGTCCCCACTCGATGGCGGTGGGTGCCTCCACGCCAAACTGGAGCCGTGCCATGGGGTGGGACAGCCAAAACCAGTAGTGAGCCCGTGCCCTGCCTCCCGGGCAGCGCCTGGATCTCCCCTTGCCAGACCCAAAACCCCGCTCAGCCCCAGCCGCGCCGTCCCTCCACGGGGCAGGATGTTTGCAGCGGAACGGCCCCGTCTCGCCACGTTTTTGGGGACTCTCTGGTGACCAAGAGCTGAGCCTTCGTTTGAAGAGCAGCAGGGAGGGCACAAGCCATGGCAGAGCTCAGCTTTTCCTTCCCTCCCAGACAGCCCCTCCTCCCCAGGAGCACTTCCAGCTTCCCTGGGGATGGAGCCCGTTTCTCTCCCGGCTGCTGGAAGGAGCCGTGTCCCTGGATCAGCGGCTCCTGTTGTTGCCAATGTCTGTTTTGATTCCTCCCTCCCTGCCCAAGCCAAATCAGAAACGGTTTAGAGCTTATTTTTACAGCTTTTTGAATAAAAGGCGCTGCGCACCGGTCGCTGGGTGTGTGTGTTTGAGGGGTGGCTCATGGGGGGCCCTGCCCCGTGTCACCCCCCCTGTGGGGCCGGCAGCAGCTCTGGGTGTGGGGAGGGGACACCCCCTCCTCCTCCTGTCCCCATCCCTGGCTCCGGGTGCTGCTCCCGGGGCTCCCTGCACCTTCCCAAAGTTGGGTCTTACACATTTGATGCCCTCACAGCAGGGGAGGTGCTGGGGTCTCCTGCTGGGGTACAACCAGGAGGGGAAAGATTTGATCCACACAAAGGTCTTCTTTCCTGTCATTTTAAAAAGATCCAGGTTGATTATCCTTTAATTAGAATTAACTGATGAGAAATGGATGAGAAACCTCGGAGGTGATTTTTTGAGGCACGTTGGTGCTCTGTAGTTGAAGGAATTTGCATGAAAGAAAACAGTTAAAAGACGGAGTCTCTTATCAGATGCTTTCAGAAGCAATAACCAGATGTCGGTGTTTTCCTCGGCTGCAGCCAAAAGCAGAACTTTTTGTTCTAGAGCATCAAAAAATCATTCCAGGGGATACTTCTCCTCCTCCTCCCGTGAGTCAGAGCCGCCCGGGTTCGGACAGAGGGGTTCAAAGCCGAGGCGGTGGGGGCCACCCCCGTCCTGTGCTGTGACTGTCACCCCCAGTGCCACTGTCACCCCCCAAGGGGTGTTGTGGGGTGTCCCCCCTCCTGGGCAGGGTTGGTGTGCAGATGTGTGACTGCAGATGACTCTGGGTAGGGGTATATATATAAAAAATATATAATAATAGAATATTATTCATATTACATAAATATATGTATTTATATATATTATTATTTATATAATATATAATTTATTTTTATATATGTGTAAAAAATAACCAGGGAAGTCTGTCAGAGAGTGTGTGTGTGTGTGTGTGTGTGTGTACATAGACACCCCTGTGTGTATATACACATACATGGAGTAAGACACTTCTGTGCATACATAAACATACACACACACACACACACACACGCTATACACCTGTGTATACACCTGTGCACAAACACCACACAAGGCACACACACACGTACTGACACGCCTCAGTGTGTGTATATAGAAATATCTACAGGGTTGTGGTCATGTATGAGCATAGTGCGTATATATATGTATACACACACACACACACACGTGCTATATACACCCCGTATGCAGACAGCCCTGTGTACATCACACACATAAACACACCAATAGACACCCCTCTGTACACACACACACACTCTGACATACATACACATCTATACACATAATAATAGGTACTTGTGTGTCTACACACACACACACACACACACACACACACTGACAGACACCACAGCTTATGTACATATATAGTTAATATGTGCAAAGTAAAGGCCACTTCTGTGTGTGTGTGTGTGTATTAAAAGGCGTATCTACACCTTCCCCAGCAACAGACACTGCTGTTTGTAACACATACATACACAGTACACTACTCTGTGTGTGTATAAATATGTAAAAGTATATATACATCCCCCCCAACAGATACTGCTGTATACATGTGTATGTACACACAGCGACACACAGAGCCTGTTGGTGCACACACACACACACACACACACACTGACAGACACCACAGCTTATGTACATATATACATATGTATATGTACATATATACCCCAAACGGCCACTATTGCTGTCTTCACACACAGACACCTGTGTATGTACAGCTACACACACCTGTGTGCACACACAGCCTGTGGCTGTACCTATGGACAGACACCCTGCTCTGTGTGTGTGTGTACACACACACTGCTGTTTGTGTACATAGATATACACACACACACACTGACAGACACCTCTTTATATACACACACACTCTCTAACAGTTACTGCTGGTTTTTATTATACACACACCCCCTGACACCACTGTTTGTTTATACACACAGTCACACACTGCTGGGTTTACACACACACACACACACACACACACACTGACAGACACCTCTTTATATACACACACACTCTAACAGTTACTGCTGGTTTTTATTATACACACACCCCCTGACACCACTGTTTGTTTATACACACAGTCACACACTGCTGGGTTTATACACACACACACACACACACACAGACACTGCTGCTTATTTATATACACACTCTAAGAGCCCCTGCTGTTTTTAATGCATGACACTAAAGGACACTCTGTGTGTGTGTGTGTGTGCATAAAAGTATATATACAGTCTCACAACATATACTGCTGTTTGTAATATATACACACTAAAGGACACTGTGTGTGTGTGTGTGTGTACACACATATATATATGTAAAAGTATATATACAGTCTCACAACATGTACTGCTGTTTATAATATATACACACTAAAGGACACTCTGTGTGTGCGTGTGTGTGTGTGTGTGTGCATAAAAGTATATATACAGTCTCGCAACATATGCTGCTGTTTATAATATATACACACTAAAGGACACTCTGTGTGTGTGTGTGTGTGTCTGTATATCAGTACATATACCCCCTCCCAACAGACACTGCTGTTAATATATGCACACTAAAGGACACTAGCCTGTGCTTGTGTGTATATATATATATATATAAAAAAAGAGGTATATACCACACACCACCACCACCACCACCCCCAACATCCACTGCTCTTTATAATATATGCACACTACAGGACACCGCTCTGTGTGTGTGTGTGTGTATTTAAAAAAGTATATATACCCCACCTCCTCCACAAATGGACACTTTTATAATACAAGCACACTACTACTTTGGTGTACTGTGAATATATATATATATATATATATATAAATAAAAGTTTATGTACACCCCATCCCAACAGACACTGCTTTTTATAATAGATGCCTGCTAAAGGACACTATGTGTGTGTGTGTGTGTGTGTGTGTGTGTGTTTACATACATATATATAAAAAAGTATATATACACACACACCCCCAAACAGACCCTGCTGTTTATAGTACCCACATTAAAGGACACTATGTGTGTGTGTGTGTGTGTGTGTGTATAATAGTATATATAAACTCCCCCAACAGACCCTGCTGTGTATAATACCCACATTAAAGGACACTCTGTGTGTGTGTGTGTGTGTGTGTGTGTGTGTGTGTTTTTACATACATAGAAAAGTATATATACACCCCCGCCAAACAGACCCTGCTGTTTGTAATACACACATTTAAAGGACACTCTGTGTGTGTGTGCGTGTGTGTATAATAGTATATATAACCCCACACCCCCCCCCAACAGACACTGCTGTTTATAATATATACACACTACAGGACACTATTCAGTGTGGTTTTGTGTGTGTAAAAAAAAAATATATATATATATATATATAAGTATATATACAACCCCCAACTGCTGTTAATATGTGCAAAGTAAAGGCCACTTCTGTGTGTGTGTGTGTGTGTGTGTGTGTATTAAAAGGCGTATCTACACCTTCCCCAGCAACAGACACTGCTGTTTGTAACACATACATACACAGTACACTACTCTGTGTGTGTATAAATATGTAAAAGTATATATACATCCCCCCCAACAGATACTGCTGTATACATGTGTATGTACACACAGCGACACACAGAGCCTGTTGGTGGGGGGGTGTGTGTGTGTGTGTGACCAGCAGCCTCTCAGTGTCTCTGTGTGTGAATGTGTGTATAAAAGCAGTGGTGTCTGCTGGGGTGTATCAATGGCAGTGTGGGGCTGTGTGTATGTATAGAAATATATATTTATATATATATATTTACGTGTGTCTAGATAAATAATAGTATATAATAAATATTAATAATTAATAATAATTAATAATATATATTAAAAAAATCAATAAACCAGCAGTCTGTGTTAATATAAAACCACAGTAATGGCTGTGTTTTATACACAGAAAAACAGAAATGTCCATTATTGGGGGTGTATATCTATATATATTAAAAATATATATGTAAAAATCGAAAAAACCAAATAAATATATATACATATAAAAAAACACATACATATATGTCTATAAATATAAAATAAACCCCCAGCAGGCTGTGTACGTCCATACACCGGGGGATGGCCCCGTGCGCGCGCAGTTCCGCGCTGTCCCCACCAGGTGGCGCCCCACTCCACACTGTGGGTGCCCCCGCCCGGGATTGGGGGGACCCTGGGAGGGGGAAAAAGAGGAGCGAGGCCAGAAATCAATAAAATTGGAAAGAAGTAACGTTCTACCCCCAGGGGTCTGCTCAACTCGCCTCACCCCTCCCGTGACCCCACCCCGTGGTGGCCGGTGTGGCTGTGGTGGCACATCTGGATGCAGTGGCACATCTGGCTGCAGGGTGGCTGCAGGGTGGCACATCTGGCTGCAGGGTGGCACAGCTGGACGCACTGCCACATCTGGCTTCGGGGTGCCTGTGGTGGCACAGCTGGCTGCAGTGTCACCCCTGGCCTTGGTGGCAGCTGCGGTGGCCGGTGTGGCTGCGCGTGCCCGTGGCGGGTCCAGCGCTGGCCGCCGGCACTGGCCACGATCCCGGTGGCCAAGGGGGGGCCGGAAGACACACAATGAGAGGCCCTTATCTCACCCCACAGCCCTTCCCGGGGCCACGGCTG